GGAAAGATAAATCCCCTCACCCTTGGCAATGCTTGGAATTTCTTGGAATAACCAAATTTCCTGGCTGGGGAATCTGTCCACAGTGTAATTTATTGGTTATAATAATGCGTACATGCATATTATTAAAACTCAGCAGTAACTGCAACTATTATTTTCCATTTAGAACAGCAAAATATTATTTTAAGAGGAGTACTTTATCTCTGACATCCAAAATTGGCAGCCCATGGTGGTAATAAGATCACGGCAACTTTTCATTGGTCCTATCACGGATTTTAAATTCTCTACAGTTAATGTACCCCTTCATTGCTACCCCAGAGCCCTCCCACTCTCCTACCATTAGTATTCACCTACAGCTGGGGGACTTACTTGGGCCTTACTATTAATAGATAGTGTTAGCCTAGGATATTTCATGGTTTGCACAGCAAAAACTTGTGCAATATCTGCATTTCTACAATTATGATTACAATTGAATCATGGTTTTAGGAGAAATAAGAGGAAAAAAGAAAAAAGAAGACAAGGAGACGTATAAATAAATATGGAGAATGTAACTGAGGAATCTTGGAAATCTAATAAGTCGTATTATTTAAAAGTAGCATTTTAATTGTTAGCAAACTCACATGTGTACAGAGCTTAAAGAAAGTAAGGTAGTTTGATAATTCTTCTGAGAAAAAAAAAAAAAAGGCCATTTCTGGCCCTTCTTCACTTCCATTTTTACTCTCCAGAAGAACTTTCTTCTTTTTGCTTTTCCTTCTAGTATTCTAAATTTCTGTTTCTAGATTTTTAAGTTTTTATATTAAGTGACTTGGCTTTGATTTTTTTCTCTACTTTCTTTTCTCTGTTTCTATCTAATCACCCCGAAATTCTGTAGCAAATGTATCAGGTAACTTCTCAGTTCCTTTTGTTTTACTCATGAGGAAATCTCTTGGAGTCCTCCATCAGCCTGTACTTATCTAGAGGGATTTCTGTCTCAACTAGGTGCCCAGTCAGCGATTTGGGATCTGAATTCTTTTCCAGCATTCTGAGAACTCCCAGAGTCTCCTCCTACTCAGGTCCCATGTTGTTGTCATAAGTGGTTTACTCCCTCATTTCTTTGAAGAATACCCTTTAGTAGCTTTCTTTCTTTCTTTTTTTTTTAGAGGTTTTTGCTATAGGGTGCGTGTGCTCTCCAAAAAGACAGAGAGAGACAGGGACCAGCCGATGGGACAAAATCATATTTT